GCAAACGCAAGCACATCCATTAAGAGTTTAGAGATGGTTTAAGTATTTATACAATCACACATATAACAAAGATGTACGCTACACAAAAAAAAATGTATAGCAGGATTTATTTGTATGGTTTGCGCAAATCTGTGACGATGTGTCACTCTCACAGCAGTTGTTCTACATAGGCTTGATGTTCATAACCACATACATCCAAATGTGCTACAAAGTTTAAGGGACTGACTGATGAAGTCTGCATTCACTCAGAGAGACCCAGAAATGCCATTAGCTTTTGTTTTTACCAGCAGTGAGTTAGTTCTGCAGTGGAGCCATGGGGACACCACCTGGCCGAGGGCCGCTAATGCAATTGAGTGTGGAAAATGACTTGTAAATGTACTGCATGCAGTAAACTGATGATGATCAAAATGATGCATTTGCATTTTTTGGAACATCCTACACTAGCCAAAAGCACACAGCTGAATGTAGTATTCTAGAAGATCTGCTGCCATACACTACCATCAAAGTCTGAAATAATTAAGATTTTCTTAATGTTTTTGCAAGAAGTCTTGAAAGTGGTTTTCTATTTCAATATATTTAAAAAAATAAAATGTATTACACTCCAATACTCCAGCCATTACTCCTGTCTTGTCACGTGATCCTTGAGATATCCTTCTAATACACCGATTTGATTCTCAGTTATCAATTATTATTGGTGGTCAGTTATTAATACTGGTTCTTATGGTCATTAATGCTAAAAACCATTTTTGCTGCTTAATATTTTTATGGAAACCTTGATCCAGGATTCTTTGATCAATAAAAAGTTTAAAGGAACAGCATATCATTATAAGTCTGCTGTAATTTTTGATCCATTTATTTTGTCCTTGCTGAAAAAAATATATATAATTTAATTTTTAATTTCTTAATAGTCATACTGAAGATTGGAGCAATGGCTGCTGAAATTCAGTTATCCAAGTAGAAAACAGTTCATTTAAACTGTAATATTTCACAATATTACTGTTTTACTGTATTTTTGATTAAATAAATTGAATCTTGGTGACTTCTTTCAAAAACATTTTTAAAATCTTCATTATTCTGACTATTTGACCAGTAGTCTATAAGTTGCAGATCCTGGGAAGCTGACTTTTGCCCTAAGTTGGATGGACTACAACCATCAAAACCCGGGAATGGGTGGTGAGAAAGCTTTCCACTGACACTCCCAGGGGACTTTTGAGCTTTTCTGGATTTCCCACACAGTTGTACTTCAGAAACGAGGTAACTGATCCCAACCCAAACATCTCCACACACTCTGCCTACCTACAGGTGACACTCTAAACCTCTCTCACTCACACATACAAGCTAAAACTCATGAAAGTGTTACGTGGATCCCCAGACGTCGCAGACCTGGTCGCAAGGTTGATGAAACATCAGGTAAGTTTGGGGAGAGACCATGCCGCTCCGTCCCCGAGGGTCCTACAGAGAACCAGTGGGAGTGTGGTGCTTGCTTCTCTCCCACGCTTAAGAAGGTATCTGATTGATGACATCATTATGTGATGTCAAGAAGCGAGCAGTGATTGAGATTAACCATTTCAATCAGAGACAAGAGACTAAGGAGAGAATGTGCCTGCTGAGGACAATAAGTTTAAGGAGACTTTCTTTGAAACTCTCCCTAGTATTCTTGATTAGTGATGCTTGTAAAGGGAAATTCTGTTATTTGCTATTTTAATGTATTGAAGGAACCAGTAAGCAAACACCAAGCAAACAAACATAAATGCATTAAAAACTGCTCAGAGGATCAACTTTTCAATGTCCTGACAACCGCTCAAAACACCATAGCAGAGCTTCATGGTGGCCACCATTCAAACAAAACATCTAATTACAAATGCAAAAGTCACCATTGACACCTAATGGATGATGCCATCACAGAGGAGCCTGCCTTTATTTAGAAGAAGAGAGAACCCAGGGAGCTGGTACTTGTGCTGGCTATGCACACTTACCGCTAAATGCTGAATGACAAATAGTCTAAATCATAAGGTCCCAATTTGCAAGCAGCCTCTTAAATGTGATGGAGTGGAGAGTGACAATGAAAAATATGATACCTAATGTGACGTCACACCTAAATTCCTAAATTAAGGTATGGTTTAAAGCTCTTAAAATGGATAGTTCACCCAAAAATTTCAATTGTCATTATTTACTCAACATCATGTCATTCCAAACCTGTATGAATTTCTTTCTTCTGTGGAACATACAAGAAGATAATTTGAGGGGGAAAAAAATTGTTCATACAATAGAAATCAAGGGTAACCAAAATGGTTTGGTAACATTCTACAAAATGTGTTTGTATCCCACAGAAGAAAGTCATACAGGTTTGGAATGACATGAGGGTGAGGAAATGATGTCAGAATTTAATAGCAGTACATTTTCTGCATTCTAGCTCAAAATCAATGCTTTACTGTCAAGTGCATTTCTATGTGACAAAAATGCTTTATTAAGTTTGTTGCATTTGCTGTGAATTCAGTAATATCCATCATTATTTGTTTCTGTCCTGTTTTATTTATTAATTAAATATTTACTCCAATTTAAGGCCCTATAACCCAGCAAAACATTCACAGGGGAACTCGTGGGCCGGATGGGCTGGATTTGTCAGTCCAGCACTGGATGCAGGGTTGTCAAGTCCGGGGGGGGGTTCTTCTTTCTTTTGATGGAATTGGGCTACTTCCTAACTAAACTGTTGCCATGGGTTGATTTTCCCCCGTGGGTTAAAGGTTTGAAATGTTGCATAAATTACATTTGACTGACAAGCTTGTATTGAAATATTTAGCATTCTACTCAAAATCAATGCTTTACGGTTGATTTTGATTTTGGGGGGGGGGTTCTTCTTTCTTTTGATGGAATTGGGCTACTTCCTAACTAAACTGTTGCCATGGGTTGATTTTCCCCCGTGGGTTAAAGGTTTGAAATGTTGCATAAATTACATTTGACTGACAAGCTTGTATTGAAATATTTAGCATTCTACCTATGATCAAACTGAGCTAGATGTTAAGTTTTGTGAAGGAGGGCCACTGGTGGGAAGCCTTTTAGCTGTGTTTATGATCAATGACTTTAAAATATGTATTTTAGGTATTTTGAATTTGATATTTGGGATACGGTCATTGTGCTACTTTGGGTGCTACTTTAACCACCAACCAAACACACCCAGCCACCCATGCACTAGGAGGTTCTGACTCACTTGTTTCTCTAGGCAAGATCATTTATATGCATTACTGTTCAAAAGTTTAGGGGCAATACATTTTTTAAAATAAATTCTTTATTTATTTATTTTGAATCAGCAAGGAGGCATTCAATTGATCAAGTGGCAGTAAATACATATATAAAGACATAAATAAATGCTGTTCTTTGGCACTTTATATTTAACAAAGAATCTTGAAAAAAAATATCCCGGTCTACACAAAAATGAACATTGATAATAAGAAATGTTACTCAAGCAGCAATCAGCATATTAGAATGATTTCTGAAGGATCAGCTACACTTTAAAATATAAAAATATGTAAGGAATAATTGACAAGGGGCCGTTGAATTATTAGAAAAATAATGCACACCCGTCGCGTCGTGGCCATTACACCTCGGGTGTGCATTATTTTTCTAATAATTCAATGGCCCGGAGTCAATTATTCCGCTTATACTATGGTTACCACACCTCAAGACATCGATCAGATGATATATTTAAAGGGATTCGTCCGGTTTTTGTAACTTAAATCGTTATTGTGAGTAGGATTATTTCTTCCGCATCTCATCCAATGCCTCTTTTGCTAGTTCCAAAACTTAATTTTAAAACTGGTAATGGAGGCTTGAGCCGTTGATAGCATTCTAATGCAGTTATTAATTAAGTTATTAGAAAGAGAGCGAGAGAGACAGGGACACACAGAGAAAGAGAAAGAAAGAGAGAGAGAGAGAGAGAGAGAGAGAGCTTGTGTGAATTAGGCTACCTCTGTGCGTCCCTCAACAGTGTTCTGCAGCAGTGTCTCTAAACGGCGCTGTTGAGAAGGGAAAGAGTAGGAGAGAGAGTAACTGGTGTGTTTGAAAGCTAGAACAGGCCGCTCCACTGATGCTCCTCTTTTGATTAGGCTTAAAGGACTAAAAGAAAGACAACCGCACGGTACACGCAGGTTCAGAGCGAGAGAGACAGGGACACACAGAGAAAGAGAAAGAAAGAGAGAGAGAGAGAGAGAGAGAGAGAGCTTGTGTGAATTAGGCTACCTCTGTGCGTCCCTCAACAGTGTTCTGCAGCAGTGTCTCTAAACGGCGCTGTTGAGAAGGGAAAGAGTAGGAGAGAGAGCAACTGGTGTGTTTGAAAGCTAGAACAGGCCGCTCCACTGATGCTCCTCTTTTGATTAGGCTTAAAGGACTAAAAGAAAGACAACCGCACGGTACACGCAGGTTTACCCAATGCCCCCTCCTCCATCTCTATTAGAGCGTCCTTTACCCCCACTGTTTTACACTGATGATATCACCCCGTTCCTGCATCCAGTGCTTTTTCTGTCCTACTGCTATAATACTATATTTTTGCAAAAAGAGTGAGTGACTGTCGACAGCTATGGAAGACATTTTAGGTTTATCCCACTGGAAGTGGAAATTAAGAGAGGGATTTTGCAGCAGCTTGGATGCTCTGAGATACTTTAAAGTGATTGTACATGCTGAGTTTAAAACTGACACCAGGGTTTTAGGCTTGTCTCTGCTCTCCCCATTCAAACTGAAACAAGAACATGACATGGCAGAGCCCTGTTGTGTGTGAGAATTTGCAAATGTGTGTGTGTGTGTGTGTGTGTGTGTACTGGTATATATAGTTTATGAGGACACAAATGTGTATAATGACGATCGCCGTGATTTTGCTAAGTAAGACATGTTCCTGGATCAACATCTTTTGTTGATCCTGGATCAACATTACTGTCCAAAAATATAGACTAAACCCAATCCCTACCCCTAAACCTAACCCTACCCATAATTTATTTCTAAAATCAGTGTGGAATGATAGCTCATTTACAAGGGTGTAGAAGCATCTAACCCCGATCGTAAGCCTAAAACAAATATTTCCTGAAAAGTTATCCCTCAATTCTGATTGGTTAATTGGAATGTTATTCCAGGATCACCAAGGATGTTGATTCACCCAATGCCCCCTCCTCCATCTCTATTAGAGCGTCCTTTACCCCCACTGTTTTACACTGATGATATCACCCCGTTCCTGCATCCAGTGCTTTTTCTGTCCTACTGCTATAATACTATATTTTTGCAAAAAGAGTGAGTGACTGTCGACAGCTATGGAAGACATTTTAGGTTTATCCCACTGGAAGTGGAAATTAAGAGAGGGATTTTGCAGCAGCTTGGATGCTCTGAGATACTTTAAAGTGATTGTACATGCTGAGTTTAAAACTGACACCAGGGTTTAGGCTTGTCTCTGCTCTCCCCATTCAAACTGAAACAAGAACATGACATGGCAGAGCCCTGTTGTGTGTGAGAATTTGCAAATGTGTGTGTGTGTGTGTACTGGTATATATAGTTTATGAGGACACAAATGTGTATAATGACGATCGCCGTGATTTTGCTAAGTAAGACATGTTCCTGGATCAACATCTTTTGTTGATCCTGGATCAACATTACTGTCCAAAAATATAGACTAAACCCAATCCCTACCCCTAAACCTAACCCTACCCATAATTTATTTCTAAAATCAGTGTGGAATGATAGCTCATTTACAAGGGTGTAGAAGCATCTAACCCCGATCGTAAGCCTAAAACAAATATTTCCTGAAAAGTTATCCCTCAATTCTGATTGGTTAATTGGAATGTTATTCCAGGATCACCAAGGATGTTGATCCAGGAACATGTTGTACTTGGTGAAATCACGGTCATCGTATAATGACATGGGTACTACAACGTAAACATGGTTTATGAGGACACTTCCTGTGTCCCCGTAAAACAAAAGGCTTAAAAAAACATACAAAATTGTGTTTTATGAAATTCAAAAATTACCAGTAGTTTTCTGTAAGGGCTAGGGTTAAGGTGTAGGGTTGGTGTAGGGTGATAGAAAATACAGTTTGTACTGTATAAAAACCATTACGACTATGGAGAGTCCCTGAAAACCACAAATGCAAGTGTGTGTGTGTGTGTCACCTTATCGCTGTTGTAGTAAGTGAGATTTCCTCCTTCAAGCTTCACCCATCTTCTCTGAAAGACACAGTTCCTACAAGTACAAAACAAAGTGTCATACTGACAAAAGTCAAAACACATGATTATTCATGTTACAACATTAAAATAATAATTATTGGGGGTTTATTATCAGGGCCATTTGAAACAAAATGAAGTATTTTAGCCAGTGCTACCATGCAACTGGCATTGTGGTGTGTCAACAAGCAAAATAAAGAATTAAACACAGAGGAAGAGAAAAAAAAATTAAACAGGAAGGCAGATTTTACTGGTGGGTGTAGCATGTGCGGAAACTAATACCAAAATAAAGTGTGAAATACGCTGCGAGTTTTTGCCCGCCTCTGCTGATGCATTGTGCACTTGCTTTCAAAAATGATTTATTCAGCAAGATTTTTTTGTGTGTTTTTGATAGAAGTCTCTTATGCCCATCAAGACTGTACTTATTTGATCATAAATACAGTAAAAACAGTAATATTGTAAAAGATTACTACAATTTAAAATTATTGTTTGCTATTTGAATACATTTTAAAATGAAATGTATTCTTGTGATGTGAAGCTTACATTTTCAGCAGCCATTACTACAGTCTTCAGTGTCAGTTGGTGCTCAAGAAACATTTCTATTATCAATGCTGAAGACAGTTGTTCTGCTTAACATTTTATTAGAAACAATCATACATTTTTTCAGGATTCTTTGATGAATAGAAAGTTCAAAAGAACACCATTTATGACAATTTCTAACAATGTATACATCATACATACCTGTGATCCATTTAATGCATCATTGCTGAATTTAAAGTATTTTATTTTATTTATTTTTTTTTAATAAAAATCTCACTGACCCCAAACTTTTTAACAAGGAGGAAATGTTATTCTTAAAATCTAAGCTGTAACATCCAAATGGAAATGAAAAGTAAAAAAAACTGAAACTTCTGTGGTACCTTCATCTCAATGCCATCATGTATATTTTAATGACACATTTTCAATCATTTTAAAAAGCTAAGCAGAATAAGGACACCTTGCAATTAAAGAAACAACATGTTAACTGACTCAGCACGTGATGTCAAGCTGATCAAGATAACAAAAATCCACCATAATTTGATTCTTTGAATTTGAATAAATCATTCAATATCAAGCAGTAGCCATTGTTTACTGCTCTTAGAACTGGAGCATTTAGCGCTAAATGTGAAACATGTATTGTGTCATGACCATTACAGTGGATTCAAGCTCTTAAGGTTTGGGCACTTCGCAGTCAGCTCACTGCGGTGTGAAGTATGTTGTGTGCCTTCAGAAGAATGGAAATGCAGTGCATGAGTCATGTAGACTACTTTCATGGTCATAAGGTCATATGAACTGAATGGCAAAGAGCTGCATGAAGTGCACCTTCTGCGCTTCAAATATAAAATAACAATGTATAAAGAACAACATTTTTGGGTGAACTATTCCTTAACATTGATCCTTTAATATGTGCTTTAGTACTTGACTTCCAGCATTCTCAAGAATAATCCTTAAAAAATGCATGGCCTGCATGGTCCTTACCCTTGAGGGGAGAGTTTGTCTAGCCAGCCTGCTTTGGTGGCTGCAGTATGGGTCCCATAGAAGCAGGCATAGGGAGAAATGGAAACTTCTGTTTGAGAAGGAAGGTTTGGTCTCAGTAGGCCTGGTATGTCATCTTGCACCCTACTGTATAGGTCTTGTACAACTGATTGTGGCTGGGCTGAAGCTGATGGTCCAGTGCTCGAGAGAAGAGTAGACGGTGTAGGATGTTTAAAAGAGCATTCATTAGCCAAACGCTGACTAAGTGTGGATTCTTGTACAGTGGAGTAATCATCATCATCATCATCGACATAATGTTGCTTGGAAAGGTCTTGCTTCTTGTTATTGTGTGTTATTGTCTTGCTTCTTGTTATTTGTGTCTGCTTGTTTCTAAAAAATAATAAATAATTTGTTAAGTTGGCATAAGGAAAGGGCAAAATAATAACATTTACAATGATTAGGTAAGTAACTTCACTTCATTTCCATTGCTTTATGTTCTTTGAAATGATGACCATATCTAGCAAAAGGGACACTGTTCCTGAAGATTCTGGAAGATTTAAGTTCCATTAAAGGGATAGTTTGCCCAAAAGGTAAGAATATTTGATATTGAACACTTTCATTATTGAAAATTAATTCACACCCACGGTGCTGATTATTACACCTGGCCAGCATATCCTGCAAACCACAATGCTGTATACAGAGATCCTCTGAGTAACACAGTGACCATATGAAAATCTACAAACCATGTTGAAATCACAAAAATCAACAAGAATTAGAGGACTTCACGTACAAATTTATTACCACGATGGAGGTGCCCTTGAGCAAGGCAAAGAACCCTCAACTGCTACCTGGTTGGCTGCCCACTGCTCCAGGTAGGGGTGGGTGGAGGATAAAAACATGTCATTGCATTTATAGGTGAAATGTACATGTACAAATGGGCAGTCGTGGCCTAATGGTTAGAGAGTCAAACTTGTAACCCAAAGGTCACGGGTTTGAGTCTCAATACCAGCAGGAATTGTAGGTGGGGGGGAGTGAATGACCAGCGCTCTCTTCCACCATCAATACCACGATTGAGATGCCCTTGAGCAAGTCACCGAACCCTCAACTGATCCCTGGGTGCCGCAGCAAAAATGGCTGTGTGTGTTTACGGTGTGTGTGTGTGTGTGTGTGTTTCACTACTCACTGCTGTGTGTGTGCACTTGGATGGGTTGAATGCAGAGCACAAATTCAGAGTATGGGACACGATACTTGGCCACATGTCACTTCACTTTCACTTTAACTTAAAAAACAGGCCAAAGGACACCGAAGTTCACCTTAACTTCTGTTGTTCCAGGTTCTCTTTTACTCTTTGACTGGACATTACATCATTGCCCAAATCCTGAAAAAACAAATGCAATCAAGATGAAACTAAAAGCAAGCCTATTTTCTAAATTATGTTTTCAAATACCATTCACCCTTGTTATGAGTGTCTTAATGCAATTTTGTACAATGTCCTATCTTCTTGGTTTGTTTAGCTTTCACAAGACAACATTTCAAAGCATACCTTAATGTTATACATATATATAATTTCTCAGTAAGAGTGGAAATCAAAGCTTTGTTGGGACAGCATTTTTGCAATGCACCCATTTTTTGAGAAGAGTAATGACATTTTAAGATTTTTCTTTGGTTTTCAAGTGCAAGAAGTAATGTGCTCACCTACAGAATTAGACTGCTGCTTTTTACTTAACACATTTTCAGTTATGAATTATGGCACAGATGACACAGCTTGGTTCATTGGTCTGTTGGCTCAGACTGCTCTTTCATCATAAGCAAAGCACTCCAGAGTTTGTTTTCAATTGGGCCGAGACCACCTTGTTAAGGCGACCTCAGACCAAATATTTTGGTGCAGATCCCAGCACAATTGCCATGTTCATATATGGCTAAATAAACTGAAGTAGAGAAAACGTGGCAGGTTCTAAAACCAAATGTTCCAGGTATGAAAATGGCTTTACTGAAACTGTAACTCGTGCTCTACATGTGAGGTCATTGTAAGACATGTTACTTTATATGTAACGTTCATTTTAACACAACAAATTCCAGCACAGGCAGGTTTTGTATACACTCACCATTTCTATTTCTGCTGAATTGTACAGAAAAAGCTCTCCATATGGGGCAATGGGGGACAAGGTCCTTTGAAGTGATGCTGTAATTAACACAACAGGAATGAATCATTATGACAAAGCAGGTTGTGGTTTTGTGGTTTGATTCTGGGAGGAGGGCAAAGGAGAAAGAGTAAGACAAAGAATGAGGCAAGCGAGAGAAAAGAACAAGCATAAAATGAGATCCCACACATTGTCCTTTAGCGTAGACAGCTTGGAAAATGTACCAAAGAGGGAGCAGCTTGGGTGACTGGTTGTCAAGGTGACAAATGACCACCATATCTCTGCGGAGACAGTAAGGGGCAGCATGACTTCCAGACTGTTCCCTACGGACATACACACACATAGCTATATAGCCAATAGACAGGGCCCCCCACTAGATAAGACCCTACTGTAGGGTGTTTGATCTAGACGCCGCTATGTTATCTATGATAGAACTGTACTGTATTGTATCACATCTTAACCCAGAAGCAAAGGTGTCATTTCAAATCAGTGTCATCGTTTATCATTATCAAGAGTTGACCTTCTAACTACAGATGATACGCTTGCTCTATTTTTCCCTCTCTCTGCCCTGTTTTATTCGTCTTCCACAAGAACCTCTTTCAGGACAATTGTGTAAATCTCTGATCATAAAGTTCTTCTCTGTTTCAAACTGATTCTCTGTTCCCGCTCTACACTTAAAACGTTTCCTCTAAAACTTCATCTACCTTGTACCTTTCTGTTACATTTTAGTCTCCAGAAAGTTAGAACAGAATTTGGTTGTAGATCTAGTAGGTATAGGCCAGGGGTAGGCAAGTTCGGTCCTAGAGAGCAGTTCAGCTCCAACCCTAAAAAAAAAAACGTGCCTGCCTATAGCCTTAGTAATCCTGAAGATATTGATTAGCTTGTTCAGGTGTGTTTGATTAGGGTTGGAGCTGAACTCTGCAGGACTGCGGCTCTCTAGGACCAAACTTGCCTACCCCTGGTATAGGCATTATTAAACCACTTTTACACCTAAACCTGGTTTCTGATTAAGATTAGTTCACCCAAAAATTTAAATTCTGTCATTAATTATTACTCACCCTTCAGAACACAAATTAAGATATTTCTGAAGAAATCTGAGAGCTTTCTGACCCTGCATAGACAGCAACGCAACTACCACACAAAGCCCAGAAAGGTAGTAAGGACATCGTTAAAATAGTCCATGTCACATCAGGGGTTCAATCGTAATTTTATAAAGCTATAAGAATGCTTTTTGTACGCAGCACAGCAGCACCACATGCATGCGTCATGGTACTCTCATGAAGGGCAGCGGACAGTGACGCGGAAGAGAAGAATTGTTAAATTAAATCGTTATTTTTGTTTTCTTTGGGCACAAAAAGTTTTCTCATAGCTTCATAAAATGACGGTTGAACCACTGATGTCACATGGACTATTTTAACGTTGTCCTTACTACCTTTCTGGGCTTTGAACGTGGTACTGAAGAAATCTGAGAGCTTTCTGACCCTGCATAGACAGCAACGCAACTACCACACAAAGCCCAGAAAGGTAGTAAGGACATCGTTAAAATAGTCCATGTCACATCAGGGGTTCAATCGTAATTTTATAAAGCTATAAGAATGCTTTTTGTACGCAGCACAGCAGCACCACATGCATGCGTCATGGTACTCTCATGAAGGGCAGCGGACAGTGACGAGGAAGAGAAGAATTGTTAAATTAAATCGTTATTTTTGTTTTCTTTGGGCACAAAAAGTTTTCTCATAGCTTCATAAAATGACGGTTGAACCACTGATGTCTATAGTCCATGGACTATTTTAACATTGTCCTTACTACCTTTCTGGGCTTTGAACGTGGTACTTGCGTTGCTGTCTATGCAGGGTCAGAAAGATCTCAGATTTCATCAAAAATATCTTAATTTGTGTTCAGAAGATGAACAAAGGTCTTATGGGTTTGGAACGACATGAGGGTAATTATGACAGAATTTTCATTTTTGGGTGAACTATCCCTTTCAGTGTAGCTCCCAATTCCCAAATACACACACACACACACACAGAGTCACATGCAAACAATTTCCAAACTATTCCTCAAGGAAGCTAAAAGCACCTTTCCTGCCACAATTACAAACACTGTGACATGTTCAGAACAGGGACACAATGGAACATTACATTTCAAAGCCAAAAGCAGTTTCAAAGACACACACACATAAGCAAGTTGCTATAAGTTTGGCAAACTAGGCTTCTCCTCATGCATGCATTAGAAGATAAAAGCAAATTACATTGAGAGACTGCATCCCATTTAATTTAACAGGATCACAAATCAGAACAAAATATATAAACCACTGAAGTTGAAATAAAGTGAAAAGTAGTGTACCTTTCTTACTGCCTGTGGGGCAAACGTGTCCCTCAGACCTTGAGAGATGGTCACTGTTGTTATTTGCTGCCACATTCCTGCACACACATTTGTAAGGAGAAAAGTGTGAAAGTTTTGTGCATTTCTGATTGAATGGATAAAAATAAAAAAAAGTACAGTCCCATTCATTGACACCCAAATTAGAACTCCAAAGTATGCCCATGCACTGATCACTGAAGGACATGCATCACTTGTGAATAGTACTACAGTATTTTTTCAGCTATGGGCAACTATGCGATCTCGCAAAATTTATATCACGATATATTTCTTCATTTCGGTCGATACGATATAATTCCGATATCAATATGAACACTATTTATGTGAAATAGAAATATTTTGTAACATTATAAATGCCTTTATCATCACTTTTGATCAATTTTAAGCATCTTTGCTAAATAAAATTATTAATTTCTATAATTTCTTTCCCAAAAAATTTATAAAAATGATACTGAATGGAATAGTGTATAATGCTACAAAAGCTTTTTATTTCAGATATTCATCAAAGAATCCTGAAAAAAAAAATGTACTCAACTGTTTTAAATATTGATAATCAGCAAATCAGTATATTAGAATGATTTCTGAAGGATCATGTGACACTGAAGACTGGAGTAATGATGCTGAAAATTTAGCTATGTATGATCACAGGAATAAATTACATTTTAAAATCTATTCAAATAGAAAGCAATTTTAAATTGTAAAAGTATTTCAAAATGTTACTGTTTTTGCTGTACTTTGGATCAAATAAATGCAGCCTTGTTGAGTAGAAGAGTATAATAAATACAACAACATTAAAAATCTTACTGTTCAAAAACTTTTGACTGGTAGTGTAGGCTGATTATTTTTATAGATTGAAAAAAATGTGCTTCAGCCAGAAAAAAGGGTATGAAAAGTGACTCAAAATCGAACAATAACAAAAACTGGAAATGTTGCTGAGACCAAGGTTATTATAGTTTAGCATTTTTAAATTTGTTTTATTTTAATATCATTTTCAAATTTGCAATAAAATTTAGTTTTGTTTTTATTAGTTTCATTAATAATTTTGTTTTAGCAGGAGGCGCTTTTAGAGTTTCCCCAGTAATGGCTGTAATCAAAGCAGCTCCGCTCATGAATGCTACTTTATCAGATCAAATAAAAATGCCATAGAAACTTTTCTGAAGACAGTCGGTTCCCTTCAGAGATACATTCATATAAAACACCCGCGCCGTGTTATGATTTTGAAATGTGCAGAGCTCATGTTTATTCAACGAAGTCAAACGGCACAAATAAATAAATGTATGGGAAGCTGGTAATGTATATCGAAATATCGGAAATGTGTTTAAAAATCATATCACCGTTATTGAAAAAAATAATATCGCGATACATATTTATATTGAATTATTGTCCAGCCCTACGCCAGCACTATCTAGCCTGCATCCTGAGATACAGGAAGCGTTACGTACTTTTTGTCATTGGTTTTTGGAAGTCATGAACATATTCCTTTCTAAAGAATGCTTTACTCATTTAAAACAATAATGATGTTAAATGATCTTTTGGGGAGTCATTTCTCAGACAAAATTGATCTGCGATACATTTGTGATTAATCAGATTACAAATGTAATCAATTGACAGGCCTTTTTTTATAGCCCAATTTATTATATAATTTGTGGAAAGGAGTTCAGGTAGAGAAGTCAGAAGCTCATGCATAGTTCTGCACAGCTATAAAGTCTGAAGAGACTCGTGTGAAATCATACAGGGGTGAAGCCAGTCAGTTGAGTTTATGTCAAAACCTCTTACAATGCTTGCATATTGTCCTGTGTTTTACTGCATATAATCCATACATGGAAAGTAGAACCAATGTGACATTCATTACAAGACGATTCGTTAAAACATTTCAAAATGCACCTGCATTGTTTTGCATTTTGTTACTTTCACTCAAATGAAAGGCTACTTTTCCAGTCATATTTTTCATGATTGAAGATTTCTTAAAAATAGTGTTCAAATATTGTCTCACTTTCTTCTCATGAACCCAATATCGTGTATGGTCTCACCTTGTGAGCTAAGTGTCTTGTCACACTCCTACTTAATACATATGCTGGCTTAACCTAGACTTTAAAAAACTCACCAGTCATAAGGAGGTTTGAAGGGATGCTCGGGAATCTCTGGAATGGGCCTGTGTCGTAGCTTATAGGAGAGGGTAGAACTCAGCTCAGAGGGTTCCTTAATGAAGGTGCACTGCTCATATATTTCATTTTCAACCATTTTTCCCTGAAACCCTACAGAAGCTCCTTCTGAGGGAAAGTCATCATTCTCATCTGGAATAGGTTCTTCTGAAAAGCTCTCCAGTGATTCGCTGCTGCCATGCTCAGAGGCGGAGCTAGAGCTGGAGGAAACAGTGTAACATGTAACACTAGTCCCTGAAAGAAGAGTTTGCTTTGTCGTCTGGATGTTACTGTACTGTCCAACGGTACTGCCCTTAGAATTCTGACAAGATATGCCTCTCTTCTTAGCCTTGGGAAACACTTGTCTAGGTCTTGGGATTGGCTTTCTCCTCGCGGGTACTTTCATAGAACCTTTACCTCCATCCACTTCCACCATCAGGGTCTCCAGGCTGCTTAGGATCCTCCGCCGGTGTCCTGTGGGAATATTGTCGACCTCAAAAAGCTTCTCCTCAGTTAGGATCCTAAGGTCTTTAAAGCAACGGTAGCCAGCCCTGGCGAAGCTGGAGGCATATTGGGGCAGGTGCAGACTGGTCAGCCATCCAGTAATTTCCTGGTCAGGCTCCATAGAAGACTACACGCAGGGGTCTTTAGTAATAATAAACCTGATTGTGAATAAAAAAAAATTTGCATTAAACAAACAAACATGTTGGTGTTAAACACTTGTCTAGGTCTTGGGATTGGCTTTCTCCTCGCGGGTACTTTCATAGAACCTTTACCTCCATCCACTTCCACCATCAGGGTCTCCAGGCTGCTTAGGATCCTCCGCCGGTGTCCTGTGGGAATATTGTCGACCTCAAAAAGCTTCTCCTCAGTTAGGATCCTAAGGTCTTTAAAGCAACGGTAGCCAGCCCTGGCGAAGCTGGAGGCATATTGGGGCAGGTGCAGACTGGTCAGCCATCCAGTAATTTCCTGGTCAGGCTCCATAGAAGACTACACGCAGGGGTCTTTAGTAATAATAAACCTGGTTGTGAATAAAAAAAAATTTGCATTAAACAAACAAACATGTTGGTGTTTAGAGGGCTCCTCAAGCTGAAGGGATCCCCCGAATTTGGTGGAGATCCGCCGGCGCGTTTGCGAGATAGTGTCACCAGCCAACACAGTAAGGAGCTCAGGCTACAGCATTCAAGCGTTGTCTTATTCGACCATAAGTGCCCTGCGTAGTGGACTTCACATGATATTCCGCCATCATTCCAGTTCCAAGGGAACGTACACGTTACATTCAAAGGGCATTAAAGTAAGCGAGACGTGAATTTATATTTATTTACAGAGGTATATTATGTCACACTTCACACTTCTCTAGTAAGTTTCGTCTGTGACAGTAGCGCAAATCCGTGAATTAATTTTCCGAAGTGAAATAAACTTCAATGGAATAAAGTTGAATAAACTTCAACTTTACTGTTCAGTGCACTGATGTGAGACTCATTTTGGATAATAAAGTTTATTGATAAATTGTTAAATGCCCTGCCTCCATCATTACATATCTTTGTCACATCATTATAAGTGCTTGATCACCACATTTGAGTGATCATTGCAAAAAATTTGTTTATGTATATATATATTCTGTTTATGTATATACTGTATTCTATATATAGTACCAGTCAAATGTTTGGACACACGAATGGGAAAGTGTCCAAACTTTTGACTGGTACTGTACTATAATATACACAAAGAATATAGGCCGATATATCAATATCTTTTTTTACTTCCTAATATCGGTATCAGCCCCAAAAAACCCATATCGGTCGGACTCTAATTAGCATGCATCAACTTGCCAACCTATAGGAGTTGCACTTTTTTTCATAGTACTCATAGTTGCTGCTGTTACATAAAAATATGATTTGGTGGCACACACAAAAGACTATTTTGCTAAGCAACAGTGAACAGCAGAGAAAGAATCCGGGCTCAGCTCTCATCTCTGTACTCTTCTATTTGGTGCAACATTTTGAACAATAAGGTGTTACAACAACAAAAAAGTAACTGTTTATAGCTTCCAGCTATTTTCTGGTAACTATTTTTATTTTCTGCAATAAATCAGGACGGAAATGAGATATAGATAGTGGTTATAAAGACCTTTCTTTTAAGATTAATTTAGCTTGTTGCTTTAAATGTTGAATCTAAACTTCAAAATCTGAATATTCTATGTAGATTAAAATAGTATGTTGTTCATTTATTTCAGTAATTCAAATCAAATTGTGAAACGCGTGTATTAAATAAATTCAATGCACACAGACTGAAGTAGTTTAAGTCTCAACAAATTAGAATACTTCATAAGACCAATAAAAAAAAAAGTTTGTGAATTGTTGGCCTTCTGGAAAGTATGTTCATTTACTGTACATGTACTCAATACTTGGTAGGGGCTCATTGCTTTAATTGCTTTAATTACTGCCTCAATTCAGCGTGGCATGGAGGTGATCAGTTTGTGGCACTGCTGAGGTGGTATGGAAGCCCAGGTTTCTTTGACAGTGGCCTTCAGCTCATCTGCATTTTTTGGTCTCTTGTTTCTCATTTTCCTCTTGACAATACCCCATAGATTCTCTATGGGGTTCAGGTCTGGTGAGTTTGCTGGCCAGTCAAGCACACCAACACCATGGTCATTTAACCAACTTTTGGTGCTTTTGGCAGTGTGGGCAGGTGCCAAATCCTGCTGGAAAATGAAATCAGCATATTCAAAAAGCTGGTCAGCAGAAGGAAACATGAAGTGCTCCAAAATTTCTTGGTAAACAGGTGCAGTGACGTTGGTTTTCAAAAAACACAATAGACCAACACCAGCAGATTACATTGCACCCCAAATCATCACAGACTGTGGAAACTTAACACTGGACTTCAAGCAACTTGGGCTATGAGCTTCTCCACCCTTCCTCCAGACTCTAGGACCTTTCACACTTCTCTAGTAAGTTTCGTCTGTGACAGTAGCGCAAATCCGTGAATTAATTTTCCGAAGTGAAATAAACTTCAATGGAATAAAGTTGAATAAACTTCAACTTTACTGTTCAGTGCACTGATGTGAGACTCATTTTGGATAATAAAGTTTATTGATAAATTGTTAAATGCCCTGCCTCCATCATTACATATCTTTGTCACATCATTATAAGTGTTTGATCACCACATTTGAGTGATCATTGCAAAAAATTTGTTTATGTATATATATATTCTGTTTATGTATATACTGTATTCTATATATAGTACCAGTCAAATGTTTGGACACACGAATGGGAAAGTGTCCAAACTTTTGACTGGTACTGTACTATAATATACACAAAGAATATAGGCCGATATATCAATATCTTTTTTTACTTCCTAATATCGGTATCAGCCCCAAAAAACCCATATCGGTCGGACTCTAATTAGCATGCATCAACTTGCCAACCTATAGGAGTTGCACTTTTTTTCATAGTACTCATAGTTGCTGCTGTTACATAAAAATATGATTTGGTGGCACACACAAAAGACTATTTTGCTAAGCAACAGTGAACAGCAGAGAAAGAATCCGGGCTCAGCTCTCATCTCTGTACTCTTCTATTTGGTGCAACATTTTGAACAATAAGGTGTTACAACAACAAAAAAGTAACTGTTTATAGCTTCCAGCTATTTTCTGGTAACTATTTTTATTTTCTGCAATAAATCAGGACGGAAATGAGATATAGATAGTGGTTATAAAGACCTTTCTTTTAAGATTAATTTAGCTTGTTCAAAATCTGAATATTCTATGTAGATTAAAATAGTATGTTGTTCATTTATTTCAGTAATTCAAATCAAATTGTGAAACGCGTGTATTAAATAAATTCAATGCACACAGACTGAAGTAGTTTAAGTCTCAACAAATTAGAATACTTCATAAGACCAATAAAAAAAAAAAGTTTGTGAATTGTTGGCCTTCTGGAAAGTATGTTCATTTACTGTACATGTACTCAATACTTGGTAGGGGCTCATTGCTTTAATTGCTTTAATTACTGCCTCAATTCAGCGTGGCATGGAGGTGATCAGTTTGTGGCACTGCTGAGGTGGTATGGAAGCCCAGGTTTCTTTGACAGTGGCCTTCAGCTCATCTGCATTTTTTGGTCTCTTGTTTCTCATTTTCCTCTTGACAATACCCCATAGATTCTCTATGGGGTTCAGGTCTGGTGAGTTTGCTGGCCAGTCAAGCACACCAACACCATGGTCATTTAACCAACTTTTGGTGCTTTTGGCAGTGTGGGCAGGTGCCAAATCCTGCTGGAAAATGAAATCAGCATATTCAAAAAGCTGGTCAGCAGAAGGAAACATGAAGTGCTCCAAAATTTCTTGGTAAACAGGTGCAGTGACGTTGGTTTTCAAAAAACACAATAGACCAACACCAGCAGATTACATTGCACCCCAAATCATCACAGACTGTGGAAACTTAACACTGGACTTCAAGCAACTTGGGCTATGAGCTTCTCCACCCTTCCTCCAGACTCTAGGACCTTGGTTTCCAAATGAAATACAAAACTTGCTCTCATCTGAAAAGAGGACTTTGGACCACTGGGCAACAGTCCAGTTCTTCTTCTCCTTAGCCCAGGTAAGACGCCTCTGACATTCAGGAGTGGCTTAACAAGAGGAATACGACAACTGTAGCCAAATTCCTTGAAACGTCTGTGTGTGGTGGCTCTTGATGCCTTGACCCCAGCCTCAGTCCATTCCTTGTGAAGTTCACTCAAATTCTTGAATCGATTTTGCTTGACAATCCTCATAAGGCTGCGGTTCTCTCGGTTGGTTGTGCATCTTTTTCTTCCACACTTTTTCCTTCCACTCAACTTTCTGTTAACATGCTTGGATACAGCACTCTGTGAACAGCCAGCTTCTTTGGCAATGAATGTTTGTGGCTTACCCTCCTTGTGAAGGGTGTCAATGATTGTCTTCTGGACAACTGTCAGATCAGCAGTCTTCCCCATGATTGTGTAGCCTAGTGAACCAAACTGAGAGACCATTTTGAAGGCTCAGGAAACCTTTGCAGGTGTTTTGAGTTGATTAGCTGATTGGCATGTCACCATATTCTAATTTGTTGAGATAGTGAATTGGTGGGTTTTTGTTAAATGTGAGCCAAAATCATCACAATTAAAAGAACCAAAGACTTAAACTACTTCAGTCTGTGTGCACTGAATTTAATACACGAGTTTCACAATTTGAGTTGAATTACTGAAAAAAAAAAAGAACTTTTCCACGACATTCTAATTTATAGAGATGCGCCTGTATATATATATATATATATATATATA